GGAGTTGAAGGAGCAGCTTCAGGATTTCCTTGATAAGGAGTTCGTTGGCAGGCCAATGTGGATGTGTGTTCTAATTTGAGTCGACTTGGTTGGCTCCGAGTTATATTGCTGAGGGATGTGTGATTCGATTGTTATTGAGCCTATTAGTGTCTGAGGAGATATATGAGTTACCTTCCCGTGTTGTGGGGCATTTGGATTTGTTGGTTATAGGCACATATAGTGCGGTGTTATTGGGATCTCTCAGTGGAGCTCAAGCGGGAGGAGTATTGGATATTGCTCGGCAGAATGGCATGTCGGTTATGTCCTTTTGGTGTGTGGTGTTGTGTATTGTCTTCGTCCGTGGTTATGATGATTTGTCTTTGGTTCCTAGGGAGTCAATTGCGCGTGGTTGTCAAATTCGTAGACAGAGTGACCTGAGGTGTTTCATGTAGGAGCAGTGTTTGGTATAAGATCGCGCATCGCAGCGAAGTTATGTGGGGTAGTGAGTCTTGCGGGTTAGTATTACGTGTGTTCTGTTCCTATGATGTGAGACAGGTTCTCAGCCTTGTGTTGTGGTGGTACTGGTGACCTTGTAGGGACAGCTCTTTCATTTGAGTCATTTAGTCATTTTTCATGTATTTGAGTATGTTCGGACTGTTTCTTATTGGTGCACGTAATGCGCGAGTTGTGGCTTTAGCCTATATTGAGGTGTCATGACACCAGGATGGTTGTGTTGGATTAGATGAGATCGTTGGGACCAGTAATGAATGCGAACGGATTCGATTTCAGTATGTTGGAAGGATAAGTGTCGAGGTTCAGCTCGGAAATTTGCTATGGTCTTTGCCGAAGGAGAAGCGGCTTCATGAATGGTTGATCTAAGATATGGTTAAGGCTTACTTTGTGTTTTCTTTATCACTGGCAGTATATGAAAGTGTTGGGATGAGACTTTAGTTGACAAGAGGTTTTCTACCGGTATTCAGTTGTTCTGTGCAGCTGCTGTGATTAGAAATTATCGCTATGAGTGTTTGAGTTAAGTGGTATATCATGTAATTGCACCTGAGGTTGCAGGTATGGGTTATTACGGCTTGTTCGGGCTTATTCAGAGTATAGATGTGAGATTCTGATCTTATGGATGATTTCCGAAGTAGAAATGTGGTTCTAAGGTTTGTGGGCTAGATTGGATTGTGAAATTTCAAATACAATGTGTTATCGGACCTATATGAGATAGGGTGACGTGAGATCACCCCCGGGTATGTGCATGGTAAGGTTATTCAGCAACTGGTTGGCTTTGGAACAACTCTGCGTTCGAGGACGAACGTATGTTTAAGTGGGGGAGGATGTAACGACCCGACCGGTCATTTTGAGTTTTTGCACTTTGCTCGCCACTTTTCGGGCATGAATTGCCCCGTGTAGTACATTATGACTTATGTAAATTGTTGGTTTTGGTTTTTAGGGTAATCGGAATGAATTTGGAAGAACAGTTCTCAATTTGAAGCTTGAAATTGGAAAGGTTTGACCAAGATTTGACTTGTTTCTATATGATCTTGGATCAGAAATTTTATGATTTGGTTAGCTCCGTTAGGTGATTTGGGACTTAGGAGCGTGATCGGAATGTATTTTGGAAGTCCGTGGAAGGTTTAGGCTTGAATTGGCGAAATTAAGATTTCGGCATTTTCCGGTTGATAGGTGAGATTTTGATATTGAGGTCGGAATGAAATTCCGGAAGTTGCAGTAGTTCCGTTATGTCATTTGGGATGTGTGTGCAAAATTTCAGGTCATTCGGACGTGGTTTGGTTGGATTTTTTATCAAAAGCGTATTTCGGAAGATTTTTAGAAACTTAAGCTTGAATGCGATGTGTTTTGGGTGAATTGATGTTGATTGAGGTGTTTTGATGATTGGAAAAAGTTTGATTAAGGTATTGGGTTATGTTTGTGCTTTTGGTTGAGGTCCCGGGGGCCTCGGGGTGATTTTGGATGGTTATCGGAGAAGTTGGAATTTTGTTGTAGCAGCTGATATTGCTGCTTCTAGTATTTCCGCATCTACGGATTGGGGACAGCAGATGCAGCGCCGCATGTGCGGAGTTTTGGTCGCAGAAGCGAAGGCTGGTGAGGTTGGCAGGAACCGCAGAAGCGGTTGTGGACCGCATCTGCGGAGGCGCAGATGCGGCTGATTCATCGCAGATGCGGATAGGGGCAGCTAAGTGAAGAACCACAGAAGCGGCTCTTGGACCGCAGATGCGGTGTGTTGACCGCAGATGCGAAAATGCCTGGGTCAGAATGCATATATTTCACCCTTCGCGATTTTGAGTGGGTTTTCACCATATTTCATCCGGGAGAAATCTTGGGAGAGCTAATTGAAGAGGGAAGTCAAGAGGATTTCATGGAGGTAAGATTTTTGGACCCTAAACTTGTTTCTATGATGAATTTTAACATTTGTAAGCTTGAAATCCATGGAAAATCAGTAGCAAAAATGGGTAATTAGGGCTTGAGACTTAAGAGACCTTTGAGTGAGGATTTAAGGGGCCATTTGAGGTCCGATTTTCATGTTCTTGATATGTATGAACTCGTATGAGGATGAGGATTCTATTGATGTGAAAATTTCTGAGTTTTGAAAAGTGGGCCTGGGGCTCGAGTTTTGGTAACTTCGGGATTTGTGCCCTTTATTGATTGTTTTCGCTTGGGCTTTGTTCCCTTGGCATATTTTGACGTCCTCGTCCTGATTTTGGATAGATTCGATGCGTGTGCAGGCCAATTCGAGGGGCAAAGGCGTCGCGAGCTAGAGATTTAGCCGGTTCGAGATGAGTAGTGGTTGTAAATGATGTTCTGAGGGTTTGAAACCCCGGATTGCACATCGTAGTGCTATATTTAGGTGAGGCACACGCTTAATGGCGAGCGTGGGGTCGTGCACTATTGGGTATTGTGACTTGGTCCGTCCCGATTGATGATTTTTACCGCGTATTTGATTGAAATCTATTTGCCATCATCATTATTTGGGCTGAATGCCATATTTGGGCTCCGTGCCAATTATTTGAACTCTTCGGGGGTTGTTGTTGATGTTTTCTCACTGTTTGACTTTATACTTGAACTCAGTCATGTTATTTCCACTGTTTTCAAAACTCAGCCATGTTTACTCTATTTTAATGCTCAAATGATATTTAAATGATGTTTTGGGCTGAGAAATATTGTTTTACTGTTGCCCAAGGGGCTTATGTGATTTTTGACTGAGTAAGGCCGAGGGCCTGTATTGTGAGGATATCTTTGGGATCGGGCTGCACGCCGCAGCGGTGATACACTAATTTGATTATGAGGCCGAGGGCCTGAGATTGTACGCCACGAGGTGGCTTGATATTGATATGAGGTCGAGGACCTGTCTATGATGCCACGAGATGGCTTGATATTGCGCTTGGGCCGTAAGGGGCCCCTCCAGGAGTCTGCATACCCCCAGTGAGCGCGGGTACCCAGTGTGATGTGAGATATAGCCCGAGGGGCTGATATTGTTCTATGTGATTGCCCGAGGGGCTGGTACTGTTCTGAGATGTTGCCCGAGGGGCGGATTTGTTGACATTGTGCCCGAGGGGCGAACCTTATGTGCTTATCTTTCGTGTTTGCCTGTCATTTACTTGCTTAATTGTGTACATTGTGCCCGAGCGGCCGATTTCTGTGCTTATCTGCACTAGTTGTTTTGCATTCATTTGCGTAACTGTTGAAAAAGTCATTTTCAAAAGAGTTTTAAACTAAGATGTTTTAAGGGATTTTACAACTTCATTGCTTTCTTACTGGTTTTGTACCACTTCTATACAGCATGTTGATGCACTTTTCGTGATTTCTTATCATTCAGTCTTTATTTATGATTATTACTCACTGAGTTGGAGTACTCACTTTACTCCATGCACCATGTGTGCAGATTCAGGTATTATACGCCCGGTAGCGGGCTTTGGCTGATCGGAGGCAGAGTTATCGTAGTTTAGCAAGGTAGTTGCCGGCGTTCGCAGTACTGTTTTTCTCCCTCCTTATTTTATTAGTCTGTACTTAGTACATTCCAAACGTTGTCAGTTGTATTTAGACTTAGTAGATGCTCATGACTGGTGACACCCTGGTTTGGGCTGTGTTTGGATTGTACTTCCGTATTGTTATGATATTATCCTCTGTTTAGCGTTTATTAAATCATGTTTTAGCCTGTTATATTGTTGTTTAGTTGTTTAACTTCGAATTGGGAATGTGTCGGCTGGCCTTGTCTTCACGAGAGGCGCCATCACGACCGGGTCTGGGTTTATGGTCGTGACAATGACGAAGAGGAAATTATGAAAATTTTGTATGCAAGTAAAGTCTCGGAATTGAATGAGATGGTAGAAGATCGAGATCGTGGAGAGGTGATCCCTGAATATAGTACTTGGTTTCATGATCCTTCGTCGTTTAGAGATAGGCCTGAGGGGTCGAACAGGAGGAGAAATGATCAAAGAACTATAGACAAGCTGAAAGAGGAATTGGAAAATGCCCAGATGACCATAGCCAAACAACAAGCCCAGCAGCAAGCCGAAATTGCTCAGATTCGTTTAAATATTGAGAAAGATTATCAATCTGCCTTGAGGGTCATGGATAAAGATCTAACGCAGGCTAAAAATGAGGCAGCTCGCTTACAAGAAGAACTGGTAAACACGATTGGTTTAGTCGGAAGAGTTGAGGCGAACAAAAATGCTGAAATACATAAGTTTCAAGAAGATTTGAGTATCATTGAAAAGGATGCGCACCAGCAACAACTGGAGTTTGATCAGCAAAACGAGCAGTTTGAAACAGAAAGGGCCCACTGGATACGCTCAAAGAGTCAGCTTTATGCATAATTAGAAGAAATAAAAAGGCAGAAGAGGGGTCATCAGCACACAGATTTTGAGGCAGAGCGGCGTCAGTGGATGATTGAGAGAGGTGTGTTAAACCGTCGCATTGAAGAATATGAGGGACGTGAGGCTCAGATGGGGCACGCCCTCAACACTACCGAGATGTGGTTGCAAAATTGTCACGTGAATATGGGGCGAGCTAGAGAGCAGGTACTTCCATTGGCAGAAAAAGCAGCATATGTTCATGATGATCGTCGTCGTCTAAACAATGAGGAAGTTGGTCAACATGCACGTGCCCTCGTTCCACAGTTGCCAGCAGTGTTTCAGAATTTGTACGAGACTTTGGGGGGGAGAGTGGAGGCCAAGAGATGCAAACCATTGATGATATCAGTTTAAGAAAGAAGACCATTGAAGATTAAATTTTTAGTGCAGTCCATTAGTTCTTAGTTTCATTTTTATTTGTCGCATTTTTAATTTTATATTTGGAGTCTTTTATTCTTATCAAAGTTTATTTTATTCCAGTCATGTTTATGTCTTTAGAGTCAGTAGAGTCAGTTTGTATATATTTCCTTTTCTCTCATTGTATATAAAAAAAATTGACTGAAAATGAATGAAAAATATTTTAGTTTGTTTTATTTTCTTTAAAAAATAAAAAAAATAAAAAAATCATCAGAATTGTTATTATTTCTCCTGAACTACGTACTGGTCTGATTCATGTGGCGTCATGATACGTGGGCAATCCTCATCGGATGTGATCATAGCCATAATTAATCTGGGGAAAAAAAAAGAGCAGTAAATTCAAAAGGAAATAAACCAATAAGCCGGGATGAAGCATGAAGCCTTCCAAAATCATTTTAGAAATGAAAATGGCATTAGGTGCATGGCATACAATGTGTGATTAATATCTGCAAAATGCCTAACTCTAACACGTTTGTTGTTTGTCATTCAAAAAGTGATAAAGTTAAACAGAGGTGGTTGGTTTGTGGTTTAAACTGGCGACTCATCCTTACAACACGAGATCAAAAGGAAAAAGTAGAATAGCAAACAACAGTGAGAATGTGTCAGATAATGATGATGTCCATGGACAATTGGTCGAACAAGGTTCGGGACTGGTTGAAGAAGTAAGAGTGTTGAAACAACAATTGGCAGAGATGTCCCAAGCTTGGGTGAATGGACAGGCACCGCCCTCACTACCCATAGGGCCTTCTGATAATCTTCATAATGTGCCAGTTGCAAATCAAGTGCCTATCTCCATAACAAGTAACCCATTGTACCAACCTGGTTTCAGTCTGAGCATTAACCTTTCCACTATCCCCAGTACCTCCATTCCACGTCTTCCAACCGCATCCCTCAGAAATGACCCACATACTGTACCCATTGTCCCTACTTTCACCGTTCCTCAACCGGCTCTCGCTCAAAAGATCAACAATGATCCAAAACTGAATGCTCATGATGCCCAACATTACTCTCCAGAACTGACTTTCAAGGTTCCAGATTCATACAAGCATACTCCTCAAAACGTATTCCCAATTGAGATCGAAAAGCCCGAAAAGAATATGGAACAAGAGGAAATGACCAGAAAAATGAAGAGCTTGGAACAAACCATGAGAAACATACAGGGTTTGGGAGGCCACAAGATTGTTTCTTTTAACGATCTATGTATGTTTCCCCATGTTCATTTGCCACCCGGTTTTAAGACCCCCAAGTTTGACAAGTATGATGGTCACGATGATCCTGTGGCCCACTTGAAGAGATATTGTAACCAATTGAGGGGAGCAGGACGCAAAGAAGAATTACTCATGGCTTATTTTGGGGAAAGTTTGACAGGAATTGCTTCAGAGTGGTTCATAGATCAAGACATCTCTCACTGGCACGTTTGGAACAACATGGCTCAAGATTTTGTCCAACAATTTCAATATAATATTGATATAGTGCCAGACCGCTCCTCTCTCGTCAACATAAAGAAGAAACCAACAGAAAGCTTCAGAGAATATGCAATCAAGTGGAGAGAGCAGGCTGCTAGGGTCAAACCACCAATGAAAGAGGCAGAAATGATTGACTACTTTCTCCAAGCTCAGGATCCTGATTACCTCCATTACATGTTGGCAGCCATTGGTAAACCCTTCGCTGAGGCGATTAAGATTGGTGAGATATTTGAGAATGGCATGAAGTCAGGCAAAATTGTGAGTCAGGCAGCCCTTAAGCCGACCACGCAAGCAATTCAAAACGAGTCAGGCAGTTTCGGAAATCGGAAAAAGAAGGAGGAAGGATCCATGATGGCATCTGGATTCGGGAGAGTTCAAAGAGGAATAGTTCCTTCTTATGTGCAAGTCAAACAAGGACAATCCAATTCTTCTCAACACTATTATCCGCCTCAGGGTCCCCGGTACTCAGTTCCCTCGCAACAATACACAGTGTTTAATGCTCAGGCTTATGCTAGGCCTCCCAATCACCAACAATGGCAGGCACCGATTCCACAAGGCTCCCGTCAACTCCGGCCAAATTTTCAGGCGCCATATAATCCTCGTCCCAGACAGGAATATGTGAGAGAACAGGAGTCAAAGAAAGAGTTCACTCCAATTGGAGAATCGTATACAAGCCTATTTCGAAAGTTGATGCAGTTGAAGTTGATTGAACCTATCATGCCGCGTTATGTGAATCCAAATTCAAAAGGTTTTGACTCAAATGCAAGATGTGAGTATCACTCTAACACCCAAGGTCATAGTACCGAAAATTGTTGGACATTAAAGAAAGCCATTGAAAATTTTATTGAAGCAAAGGCAATTGTGGTGACAAACAATGAAGATACTCCTAATATCACAAACAATCCGCTCCCAGCTCATGATAATACACATTTTATTGGGATGATTTGTGCTGATCGGGATTATAAGCAGTCTGGCAAGACAGAGATGGTTGTCGGAACCATAGGGCAAGAGCCAAAAGTGATTGTAAACCCGCCGCAACTGGCACCGTTAATTGTGAAAGGTGCGAGTTCTAGTTCAAACTTGGCAGGTTCTGAAAAAACGGTTCTCTATGTCCCTGGAAGCACAAAAAAGGTTGAGGTTCAATTGGGTAGGCCAAAACTTTACATCCCTGGGGGCATTCAAAAGATTGTTCTAAATAATGGTTTGAGAAATATAACAGAGCCAGTTGTGATCCGACCTTTTGCACAACTCCCAGTGTCAAACACAAAAGCTATTCCCTGGAATTATAACAAGACTGTCATGACATACAAAGGAAAAGAGATAGTGGAAGAAACAGATGAAATGGGGGGCTTGACCCTCTCTGGAAGGTGCTACTCACCAGAGGAATTGAGAAAAGCTAAGCAAGCCAAGGAAAATCACTTTCCAGTGAAAGANCAAGAGCCAAAAGTGATAGTAAGCCCGCCTTAATTGGCACCATTGATTGTGAAAGGTGTGTGTTCTAGTTCAAACTTGGCAGGTTCTGAAAAAATGATTCTCTATGTTCTTGGAAGCACAAAAAGGTTGAGGTTCAATTGGGTGGGCCAAAACTTTACATCCCTGGGGGCATTCAAAAGATTGTTCCGAATAATGGTTTGAGAAATATAACAGAGTCAGTTGTGATCCGACCTGTTGCACTATTCCCAGTGACAAACACAAAAGCTATTCCCTGGAATTATAAGAAGACTGTCATGACATATAAAGGAAAAGAGATAGTTGAAGAAGTAGATGAAATGGGGGGCTTGACACGCTCTGGAAGGTAAGAACCCGTTGCAGAAAAAGAAGCGGAGGAATTCCTTAAGAAGATGAAAATGCAAGACTACTCAATCATTGACCAACTAAGGAAAACCCCTGCTCAGATATCTTTGTTATCTCTGCTTTTGCACTCGGTAGAGCATCGTCGTGTGTTGATCAAAACTTTGAACGAGGCATATGTCTCAGAAAAGACAACGGTGAATCAGCTAGAAAAAATGGCTGAAAGATTCTTTGAGGGGAATGAAATTTCTTTCAGCGATGGTGATTTGCCTGAGGAAGGATCTGGGCACAATAAAGCTTTGCATCTTATGGTCAAATGTGAAGGGCATTACGTAAAAGGAGTCATGATTGACGGAGGCTCAAGTGTAGATGTATGTCCTCTTTCTATTCTACAACAATTAAACATTGACACTAACAGAATTCGAACTAGTAGTGTCAGCATCAGAGCTTTTGATGGTTCAAGAAGAGATACTATTGGGGAAATCGAACTCACCATGTCAATTGGCCCGGTTGATTTTAACGTTGTCTTTCAAGTGTTGGATATGAAAACTTCCTATAATTTTCTTCTGGGAAGGCCCTGGATCCATATGGCCAGAGCTATACCATCCACCCTACATCAAATGGTCAAATTCGAGTATGACAGGCAAGAAATTATTGTTCATGGGGAGGACGACTCATCCGTCTACAATGACCCGTCCATTCCATGTATCGAGGCCAAGGAAGGATGTGAATCCCTCATATATCAAACATTTGAGGTGATTGAGGTAGACCAAGTGGAAGAAGGAAAACCAATTCTGCATCCCCATCTTTCAGCCACATCTATGATGGTAGCTTCACTGATGTTGAGGAACGGCTATGAACCAGGAAAGGATTAGGATCGTTTCTGCAAGGAATTGTGAACCCCATTGCTCCCTTTGCAAAGAAAGATACCTTTGGCTTGGGTTTTAAACCAACATCAGTTGACATAAATAGAGCCAAGGCCCGCAAAAAGAATGGTTGGAAATTGTCAAAACCAATCCCTCACATTGCCTACTCTTTTGTCCAGCAACAATTTGAAGAAGTCCAAAATCTTTCTACTCAGGATGACATTGATGAAGTTTGCCAGGGTCTCAAGGAGATGTTCTATGGGATCAATATGGTTCAAGTTGGTGAGGGCCCTAGCCGTGCCAGTGTTCAGCTGATTGGTCCAGATACCTCGCTCAACAACTGGGAAGCAACTCCTCTTCCCATCAGGAAGGAGTCTTGGTAGTCTGTTTTGTTGCTTTTTCTGTATTTGGATTATTTTCAGGGTTGTAATCCAGATGTTTTAGTTTAATTGCTTTGCTTTGATGTTAACCCTTCTATCCGTTCCAATTCAATGAAATGAAGTTCCAGTTTCATAGTAGAATTCTGTCTTTTCCTTTCCCTAATTTTTGTTAATTTCTCATCATTTTCAGTTTCGTTAATGCTGGCTTTAAAAACATGACATGCACGCGGAATTCATGCCTAGATCTTAAAAAGTTGTCTAATCTCGAAATAATGAATCAAGAAGTTGAGTATGATGAAGACGAGGCCTTTAAGGATATAAAAAGAGAATTGGATAAATTTGAGAATAAGCCTAAGCCTAACTTAAATGAAACTGAGGCAATTAACCTAGGAAGTCCTGAAGAAATTAGAGAAACAAAAATAAGCATTCATACTGAACAAAAGACGAGAGATGCCATAATTCAAGTTTTGTTCGAGTATAGAGATGTATTTGCTTGGTCGTATGATGACATGCCGGGTTGGGTGCTGATTTAGTGGTCCATAAGCTTCCCACATATCCTAATTTTCCACCAATCCAGCAAAAACAAAGGAAGTTTAAGACAGACATGAGTGATAAGATTAAAGAAGAAATCACGAAGCAACTAAGTGCAAATGTGATCAGGGTCGTCCGATATACTACATGGTTAGCAAATGTTGTGCCAGTACCAAAGAAGGATGGGAAAATCGGAGTTTGTGTTGACTATAGGGATTTAAACAAAGCAAGTCCAAAAGACAACTTTCCCTTACCCAACATTCATATCCTTGTCGACAATTGTGCTAAACATGAGATCCAATCTTTTGTGGATTGTTATGCCGGGTATCACCAAATTCTGATGGATAAAGAAGATGCAGAAAAGACCGCGTTCACCACTCCATGGAGAACCTATTGTTATAGGGTCATGCCATTTGGTTTGAAGAATGCAGGAACGACTTACATGAGGGCCATGACTACCATATTCTATGACATGATGCACAAAGAGATTGAGGTGTATGTTGATGATGTGATCATTAAGTCTAGAACACAAGATGATCATGTGCAAGACTTGAAAAAGTTCTTTGAAAGGCTACGAAGGTACAATCTCAAACTCAATCCAGCCAAATGTGCATTTGGAGTTCCTTCTGGGAAGCTTTTGGGTTTTATAGTTAGTCGAAGAGGCATTGAGTTAGATCCCTCCAAGATAAAGACCATTCGAGAAATACCTCCCCCGAAGAATAAAAAAGAAGTCATGAGTTTGCTCGGCAGGTTGAACTACATCAGCAGGTTCATTGCACAACTTACAACCAAATGTGAGCCTATTTTCAAGTTGTTGAAAAAGAACGCCGCTATCAAGTGGACAGATGAGTGCCAAGAAGCTTTTGATAAGATCAAGGAATATTTTTCAAATCCTCCTATTTTGGTCCCGCCAGAACCTGGTAGGCCTCTGTTTTTATATCTGTCAGTAACAGATAGTTCTTTTGGTTGTGTTATGGGTCAACATGATGCCACAGGCAAAAGGGAACAAGCAATATATTATTTGAGCAAAAAGTTTACCACTTATGAGGCCAAATACACTCTTTTGGAAAGGACATGTTGTGCCTTAACCTGGGTCGCTCAGAAGCTTAGGCATTATCTTTTGGCCTATACAACTTACCTCATATCTCGAATGGATCCCCTAAAGTACATTTTTCATAAACCTATGTCAACTGGCAGATTGGCAAAGTGGCAAATCTTGCTCACAGAGTTTGATATTGTTTATGTCACTCGCACTGCCATGAAGGCACAAGCTTTGGCTGATCATCTGGCAGAAAACCCTGTGGATGATGAGTATGAATCTTTGAACACATACTTCCCAGATGAAGAGGTTAATTTAGTTGAAGAAGCAATTCATGATGACAGCCAAATTTGGAAACTATACTTTGATGGGGCTGTCAACATTAAAGGCGTAGGAATTGGGGCAATTCTCGTATCACCTACTGGGCAACATTACCCTGCCACAGCACGACTTCGTTTCTTCTGTACAAACAACAAGGCAGAATATGAAGCTTGCATCATGGGTTTGAACATGGCAATAAACCTAAATGTGCATGAACTGTTGGTGATGGGAGATTCAGATTTGCTTATTCGGCAGGCTCAAGGTGATTGGGAGACTCGAGACATCAAGCTCATTCCATATAAACAATGTGTGGAAGATCATAGCAAGAGATTCAAGTCCATCGAGTTCAGATACATTCCCAGGTTTCACAATGAATTAGCTGATGCCTTGGCCACCCTAGCTTCAATGCTTCCATATCCGGGTAATACTCACATTGACCCATTAGAAATTCAAATTCGGGATCAACATGGTTATTGCAATACAATTGAAGAAGAAATAGATGGTGAACCATGGTACCGTGATATTAAACAGTTTCTGAAAACAAGAGAATATCCGGAACATGCTAATAGGGATCAAAAGAGAACTATTAGGCGACTCTCTAATGGTTTCTTTTTGAGTGGGGAAATCCTATACAAAAGAACCCCGGATTTGAATTTATTGAGATTTGTGGATGCCAAAGAAGCTGAAATGATTATGAACGAGGTGCATTCGGGAGTTTGTGGTCCGCACATGAATGGATATGTTCTAGCAAAGAAGATCCTTCGGGCAGAATATTATTGGCTTACTATGGAGCGAGATTGCTTTCGTTTTGTTCGCAAGTGCCACCAATGTCAGATTCACAGTGATTTGATTCACTCTCCTCCTTCAAATTTGTATCCTATGTCGGCTCCTTGGCCTTTTGTTTTTTGGGGAATGGACGTCATCGGCCCAATCGAGCCAAAAGCTTCAAATGGGCACAGATTCATCTTGGTTGCAATTGATTGCTTCACCAAATGGGTGGAAGCTATTACATTGAAAGCAGTTACCAAGAAAGTAGTAGTAGACTTCGTTCACTCCAACATCATCTGTCGTTTCGGTATTCCAAAAACGATTATTACAGATAATGCTGCTAATTTGAATAGTCATCTGATGAAGGAGGTATGTGAACAATTTAAAATTAAGCATCGCTATTCTACTCCTTATTGACCCAAAGCTAATGGAGCTGTTGAAGCTGCAAATAAGAACATCAAGAAGATTCTTAGGAAGATGGTCCAAGGGTCTAGACAATGGCACGAGAAATTGCCTTTTGCTCTTTTGGGATACCGGACAACTGTCTGTACATCAGTCGGCGCAATGCCCTACTTGTTGGTTTATGGCACTGAAGTGGTCATACCTGCTGAAGTTGAGATTCCCTCTCTCCGAATAATTGTTGAAGCAAGGATTGAGGACACTGAATGGGTGAAGTCCCGATTAGAACAATTGAGTTTGATTGATGAAAAGCATTTGGTGGCAGTTTGTTTTGGTCAGTTATACCAACAAAGAATGGCACGCGCTTACTATAAGAAAGTGCGCCCAAGAACATTTGAGGTAGTACAGCTTGTTTTGAAACGCATATTTCCGCATCAGGAAGAAAGCAAAAGGAAAGTTTTCCCCGAATTGGCAAGGTCCTTACCTCATCAAGAAAGTATTGTCAAAAGGAGCTCTACACTTGGCAGATATAGAAGGAAAGGTGACAGACATATCCGTCAATGCAGATGCGGTCAAGAGATACTACGTCTGACATGCTTCTATAGGGGCATTTTGTTTATACTTAGCATTCTCGGGTTGGGATGATGAAAGGCTATCATTCTCGCTACCCAAACACTGGTCACCCCTAGTTAGCCCTTTGAAGCCTTGTTTATATTTCTTTGTTTTCCCCTCTTTTGGAACCAACGTACGTAAAAAAAATCAATCAAAAAAAATCAAAAAAGAAAAAAAAAAGAAAAAAAATCATCAAAACAAGTTCATGTTAATTGAACTACGTCCGACCTGATTCTGAAAGGATACGTAGGCAGCCTCACTCTGGGGTTCGGTCACACCAAAACAAAAATTCACATTTCCCCAATATTCAAAGAAACTGGGGCATGATTTTATTTTTTTATTTTTTTTTATGGTTGTTCCATCAAAATGGTTCCAAAAGTTGTAATTCAGTCAAATAGCTCTTTTTACCTTTCCCTGCTAAGACCTTCTGATCAACTTTTGAGAATGCTAAGTCAGTATACTACGGGTGATACCTCAGCCATTGTAAAGAGAGAAAAATAAATGAGACAGTCTTATTGGTGAAAACCCTCCCGGGCACTATAAGGCAATGGTGAGTTGAGAGAAAGACAAATGAGAGACGTAAGTTGGTGAAAAACACACAAAGGGCATCATTGGTCGATTTAGGTCTTCATATATCCCGGCACAAGCATGGTTAAGACAAAGAACTCAGTTTCAAAGGAAGTTTACAATATATTTCAAGAATTAGATGATTCAGACGGATCAGGCATCCAGTCCAAAGTGCATGTCATGTTCATTGAAGTCAGTATATTCCTCTAGATAAGTCCTTTCTTATTTTTTCCTCTGAAAGGGACGCTTCTTGATTAAGTTGTAATACCTATTATTTCACCTTCTTTTTTTTTTTTTTTTTTTGCATTACTTTTTTGAGTCTCTTTCAGTCTAGTTTTGTCAAAGCAAAGCAAAGAAAAGGCCGCAAAATTGGTTACAGTTTCCCTGTTATATGAAGCAAAACTTTCTAGGCATGAACAGCATGGACAAAGGCATAAAGCCATCTTTGATTTTCCCTGACAAGCCAAATATTTGAAGAACTGAACAATGTGTGAAGTGTCAACAAAATTACTCAATTAAAAGTTGTTTTGGGGAGAAAGGTTGTTTGCACCATAAACACAAATGGTGATAGGCACAAAATCGTTAGGTGTTGATGTTGAGAAAGAAGATCTTCAGAAAGTAAAGCTAGAATCTCCCGGCAATTTGTACGTTCATCGACAGAGGCAATTTTTCATACAAGTGTAGTGGAAGCAAGGTCAAGACGCCCAAGAGATCAAGTCCACAAATTGACCACCATTTTAAAACTAACGAATCTTTCTTTATTCAGAACAGGAACGGAACAATTTTAGGAAACAGTTCATGGAAGGACGAACATCTCCAAGTGAAGTTCTCAAATCCTTGATTTCCTTCTAATATACATGTAATCATGTTATTTTTAGTTTCGTTATAGGGAATACTCTATCTTCACCTCAGGGTACTACATCCCCTGGCTGCATTACTTTTTGCCTACATAGAGTACGACATTCTCTAGTAGCATCCCAGAGTGCCACGAGCCTCATTTTATTTCTAACACAGGGTACTACATCCCCTGATTAAATTACTTGTTGCCAACATAGGGTACGACATTCCCTAGTAGCATCTCAGAATGCCACGAGCCTCATTTTTATTGCAAACATAGGGTACGACATTCCCTAGTATCATCTCAGAACGCTGCAAGCCTTATTTTATTGCCGACACAGGGTACTACATCCCTTGGTTGGATTTTTCGTTTCCAGCATAGGGTATGACATCCCTTAGTAGCATCTCAGAGAGCCACGAGCTTCATCTTATTGCCAAACACAGGGTACTATATCCCCT